GAGGCCTGCGGCGGCCCCCGCCCCGCACGCAGACCCACCCTCTGCTGCCCACCTCCGGGGAGCCACCGTGCGGGGCTCTGCTCGCCGCTGTCGCGGGGCCCGTGGCCTCACCCGACTGACAAATCACTTCTCCCCCAGCCTCGGCTCCCCACGCCCCCCCCCGGCCCGCGGGCCTCGACCTCCCTGCTCTCGGCGGGGGCCCGGGGTGCCTGCCCCCACCCCCCGCCATCCTCCCTTCTCCCCAGGCTCTGACTGGCCCAATCCCCTCCCAGAGTCCCGTTACCCCCTTCCCTTCCCTTCCCCTGGGCCTCTCCCCTCCGCACCGCTTTTCACCTGTTCCCACTACTCCAGCCAGGTGTGCATTACCTTCCCTCTCCTGGGCTCCCCGATTTCCACACACACACACACCCACACACACGTGGCTCACACTGGGAGTAGGGACCCGTCACCCTTATGTTCACACTTGGTGCCTCACTCCCCAGCACTTAGATTTGCGCTGCCCCAACACCTCTGGCCCCAAACTCTCCCACAGCTGAAGCCTTTTCTTGTCCTTCCTTCCTTCCTTCCTCCTTCCTTCCTTCCTTCCTTCCTTCCTTCCTTCCGTCTTTCTCTCTCTCTCTCTCTTTCTTTCTTTTTTTCCTTTCTTCTCTTTCCTTCTTTCCGGTACTGGGACTTGAACTCAACATCTGGGCACCATCCCTTAAGCTTTTTCCACTCAAGGCTGGTTCTCTACCACTTTTGCCCTAGTTATTTGGTGGGTAATTGGAAATAAGAGTCTTCCAGAGTTTTTTCTGTCTGGGCTGGCTTTGAACCCCAATCCTCAGATCTCAGTCTCCCGAGTACTTGGATTACAGGCTGGCTTCATCCATGTGGTCTTTGTCACTGCATGGCCATAATGCTGTGCATCCTAGGGCGCCTACGATGCAGTGTGGAACAGGTTTCTCTTGTGGTTTCCAGCCCAGTCTGGCGTAGTCCCCCGAGACACGTGAGGACAGACAGGCAGGTCTCCCCTTTCCCACCTCACCTGTTAGATTTTCCCATCTCTGGGAGCAGGACACAGACTTAATTCATCAGCCTACAGCATCCATTCTCTCAAGACTGTAGGCTCAGCCCAGGCCACCCAGTTCCACTTCTTTTTACATTATGTTTTACAAACAGCTTCGGTGGTTCTGTGGGTCTAACCCAGGGTCTTGAGTCTGTTGCCCTCTCTGCCCTCCAAATTCCTGGTACCCCATATGCCATTTGGGCAAGAGGGGAGAAGGGACTGGAGGAAAGAGCTCAATTTCGTCATTTCAAGAAAGAGTTCTTCTCCACACGTCCAACCACGACCTGTTTAAGGATATCTCCACACCATCGCATCCATCCTGCCCTTATCAAGATTTCTAGATGTGGAGCTCTGGGAAATTGTTCCATCCCTAAGGAAGTCAGGTCTGTATTGTTCCCACCCACCTGGGGCAGCTTCAGCTACTTCCCTTCTCTCCATCTCCCTCCTATCCCGTCACCATCCGAGGGGACTTCCTGTTTTCCTCTGTGGGACTCTTCAGGGTCACAGTGACAGAACAGCATGCAAAAAGTATAGGAGGAAGGGAAGATGCAGAGATGCTGATACAACTCCTATGCTGGGTTGACGGAGATCTGGGAAACCCTCCTGCCATCACATGGGCTACAGCACAGGCACACACACACACAAAGCACACAGAAGAACACACATAGGGTGACACTGTCCAAAAAGAAATGTACTCATTACCTGACTTATGTAACTCCTCTCTACATTACCTTTATAATAGCAATAATAATAAACACATACAGGCAAATGCCTAGACACACAATACATAAACAGACACATAGGCATGGAAAACACACAGACACCCTGATGGACACACAAAGTCACAGAGGCATCCCTGCACAGGGACACACATGGATGTATACACATGCACACACATTTCCCTGGGTAAGCTGTGCCTAGCTTTCCTACCTCTCACAATTGAGACACTTCCTCTCATATCCAACTTCTGTTATCCTAATGCCGTGGAAAATGGATTCCTTCCAGTTGATTCTTAGACTCAGAAAGGTGTGATTAGAGGTTCACCCACTGCTCACCCAGACTTGCTTTCTGTTAGATCGCTCCACTGTCCTGTGCTCACCAATTTACTCTACCTCTGTCTCTCTGGAGTGGCCACAGGACTGCCGCTCTTTGGAAATCTTGCGCCCATCATCCGTGTTCACCCCTGACTCACATCCTGGCTCTCCAGCCCCAGGGCTCTCAGTGGGGACAGCTCCCAATGGGATAATGTCCTGAGCCACGCAGCACCCTCCTCCTCCAGCACCATCCTTAAGACTACCATGCATCTCATTTCCTTGATGATCACATCTGCACGGCTGATTAGCAGGTCACTGTCACCTGCATCTCCCCTGGGTCACCCGTTGGTTAGCAGGTCTTCCCCTTTACACCAGGCCTCCAAGGCTCAGCTCCCGGGGTATTTTGTGGCAGGGGAAACACGTGGGTATTAGGGACCTCGGACTTGGCCGGGTCCTTGGGAGCAGGTCTCCCCTGCCCAGTGTGAGTCCCAGCCTTGGTAAGTGAGTCTCACCCACATTCCTCAGCACATGTCTTCTTTGGCAAGTTCTTAACCCTGTGGTTTGTTCATACATCACTGTCTTCTCCTTTTATACTTGATTTTTATTTATTTATTTTATCCGTTGCTGATGTTCACCTCTCCAGTCACTGACCTCCACTCTGAAGTCCCCAGTAACCGGGAGCATCTGCTCCAGGGGCCTAGGAAGGCTGCCTGCCCGCTGCGTGGAGCTCCCCTCCCTAGGTGCCGGGTGGGTGCTCCCGGACCCCCAGCTCCGCCGCTCACAGCCCCTCCTCCCTCCTCCCGCAGGTAGATGGCCCCCCCAGGCCAGGCCCTGCGGACACCCCTCCCTCCGGCTGGCGGATGCAGTGCCTAGCGGCCGCTCTTAAGGACGAAACCAACATGAGTGGGGGAGGGGAGCAGGCCGACATTCTGCCGGCCAACTACGTGGTCAAGGATCGCTGGAAGGTGGTGAGTGGCCGGTGGGCAGCGGAAGGGGGCGGGAGGAGGAGGGCGGCCCTGAGCCTGTGTCCTTGGCCCCCCTCTTCTAAGAGGAAGGTGTCCCTCAGCTCATTTGCATACTGCTTGCCGGTTATTATTTTTGCCCACACGTGTGCACAATCGCTCTCTCTCCGACTCCGCCCCCTCTCACCCCCTCCCGGGCCAGGTCACGTTGGTCGGGCCTGGACCACTCCTGGTTGGATGTTGGGGCCGGAGCCGCAGAGCCGAGGTGGGGGGAGGGAGGGCGTTCCTGCGCTGCACCTGGGGAAGGGCAAGGACGAAACATGTGTTCCTCCGCTTCCGCAGCGGACTGAAAAGCCGGGGTCTGGGGAGGGAGGATCCGCAGGCTGCTCCCACAGTCGGTGCTCCGTCTTCTCCATCTGCCCCTCCCCTTGCCGGGTCCTGCGGCAGGTGCAGCGCGCCAAGACTACATCTCCCAGCGTGCTTTGCCCCTCCAGCCCCGGGCTCGAGGCCGCTGGGCCTGCTGGGAGTTGTAGTCCGAGCCTCCTCCGGGACCAAGTGAGCTTGTGGGGAGTCACATCGACTGCCAGTCATTCCCGCTCCCACCCCACCCCCCTTCTTTTCTGTCCCTCCGGGAGCTCTCTGGAATCTTCTGCACTGTGGGGGCGGGATGGAGAATGGTTTAGGTGAGAAATTGCGAGTCTGCACTGGAGTACAGAATTGGGAGGAGGGGAGACGGACCGAGGTCAGGTTGGACCTGTGTGCTTTGTGTGTGCGCAAGCGCGTGTGCACCCCCGCGTGCTTGGGTGAGGGGAGGCTCTGGGCACCGGGGTGCAGAATCGGAGAAGAGGGTGGGGCTTGGGTGTAGGCGGGTCTCCATGGCAACAATCACCCGGACCCCGCCACGCAAGGTCCCCTAGAGGTCCAGGAGGAGAGGCCAGTGAGGGCGTTTCCAGAGATGGGGGAACTGGAGGTGGGGGGGGGTAATGGGAAAGACCCCTAGGGCGACGGCCTGCAGGGGTCTTCCTGGGAGGAAAAGGTACCTGACAGAGTGGGGGCGGAGCCAGGACAGTCACAAGAAGAATAAGAGAAGTGTTCTGTAGTGAGAACTGAGCCATCCTCCTCCAAGACCCCCTGGGTCTCTGGCACAATAGCTTAGTTTCTGGCAGATGGGAGGCAGAATGACATTTGCACTGAAAGGCAAGAAAGACAGTGTTCACACACACACACACACACACACACACGCTGAGTTGAGGCTTTGTCAGGCAAGAATGGAGGATGGATAGAGAGAGAAACGGCAAGGGGAGGTTGGGGGGAAGGCAAGTGTGCATCTTTGTCATGATGCCATACCTCCTACCCCAGTCTCCCGGTTCTTCCTCATGGAGTACTCGAGAGACTAGGTGCCAGATGGCCTCTCATTTTCTGTGAGGGGATTGAACAAGAGCAGACTGCCCAGAGATGGGCTGTGGCCAGGAGAAAAATGGGGGTCAGTGGAATGAGAACAATATCCTTACGGGGTGCTTCAGAGAATCAGAACAGTAAACAATACTAGTAAAAACTTAGCACTTGTTTTGTCCCCTTACTGGGGCCAGGTGCAGGGCCAAATGCCCCAGGGTTCTCTCAGCACTTGTGGATGAGATCCTGTGACTCACCCCCCCCATTGCACAGGTGTGCAAAATGGGCATAAGATGCATTTTTTATCTTCTGACTTTTAAACAAAGGAAACCATTTTCATGAGTCCCCCAGAGTCTCTGGATGCAGCAGAACAGTGAGAGTAGGTACAGCACAGAGGAAGGAGGGTGCGGATTGGATGGATGTGTACTGACACTGGGAGGCAATGAAGGATGGAGGGAGGAGAAATAGGTTCTCAAATGAAGGCAGTAGAAAAATACCCTTGGGCACCTGGGAGCAGGGGAGTAGGTGTCAGGAATGTCTTAACTGGCCTTTCTTCTTTCCCTTCAGCAAGATGGCTCATCAGAGTTTGGATTGCAACACTCTGTCTGTCTAGGTATTTATTTCTGTGGTGATACTGGGACTTGAACTCAGGCTCTAGCACTAGTCCTTTGTGCTGTAGTTATTTTTTCTTTATTTTTCCAGTACTGGGTCTTAAACTCAAAGCCTAGCACTCTCACTTGGCATTTTCCACTCACAGCTGGTGCTCTACCACTTGGACCACACTTCCTCTTCTTGTTTTTTGCTGGTTAATTAGAAATAAGGGTCTCTTGGCTTTGCCTACCTAGGCTGGCTTCAAGGTCCAGATCTACAAGTAACTAGAATTACAGGCCTATAAAAAATCACTGGCATCAGCTATAATTGGTTTTTAAAATAGGTTTTGCATTTTTGCCCAAGCCCATGAATGGGCTTCTTTTGCTCAAGGCTAGGCCTCTATCACTTGAGCCACAGCACCATTTCTGGCTTTTTCTGTTTATGTGGTTCTGAGGAATCGAACCCAGGGCCTCATGCATGCAAAGCAAACACTCTACCACTGAGCCACCTTCCCAGCTCCTCTTTCTTAAGCCAAACGACAATGCAGCACTTTCTCCGTGCTCCCCCGTCACAGCAATGGTGTCCTCACCTTCTCAGTCTCCTGGGACCTCTGCATGGAAATGATTTTTAAGCTCTTCCTAAGTTTGTTCATTGCCAGCCTAGCTCTCTGCCCTCCTCTCAGGAGGAGGGGTCAGCCTCACTGCACCGTTCTTTTCCAATTTCCTTCTGACCCTCTTCCAACAGAGCAACCTGTGCCAAGGAGGAGCTCATCCTGGTTTGGGGTATCAGACTGGGGCCTTTTGCAATGGGCATGGGCAGTAGACATCCTTTGCTGAATCCTGCCCCCTTCCAATACTGTCTCCCTCCAGTGACATCTTTCAGGAGACTTTCAGGCACCAGGAAGCCTCAGCTCCCACCCTGAGGCTTAGAGGTCCTGGAACAGGTTTTCCTTTAGGATGGCATTTGCTCAGACAAGGCAGGGGCTCAGGGAACTCCATAGTCATTGTTCTGGAAGCAAAAGATTTAGGATGGCTCATGATCGCTTTACTGTCCTACAGAGGCAGGTTTGCTCCGTGTCTACAGGGAGTCACAGATCTCTTGCCTTCTCCTACTGCTCAGATATCTGGTCCTGGTGTGTGTGTGTGTGTGTGTGTGTGTGTGTGTGTGCACGTGCATGCACACACACACACCTATGGGCTGCGCCATCTGTCTTACCTGGGTGTAGGAAAGGAGGTGGGGGCCTCACTCTTGTGGAGACATGGGCTTCCCCCGCTTTGAGGATGCTGCCTGCCTTCTTCCCCATGGAGCTTGTATAAGCAAGGGGGGATGAGGTGCTGTTCATACTGATCCTGAGAAGTCCATCCCCCCATCTCCACAGCTGAAAAAGATCGGGGGTGGGGGCTTTGGTGAGATCTACGAGGCCATGGACCTGCTGACCAAGGAGAACGTGGCCCTCAAGGTGGAGTCCGCGCAGCAGCCCAAACAGGTCCTCAAGATGGAGGTGGCGGTGCTCAAAAAGCTTCAAGGTGAGGCTGGGCTGTCAGAGGTGATGGAGCCGGGGGACTGGGCGAAGGGAAGGCAATAGAAGCCGGGGCCAGGGCCAGGGCACAGTGGTTCAAGCATTAGTCCTGGCTGCTTTGAGAGGCAGAGATGGGAGGAGCTCAGAAAAGTTAGAGAGCTTCCGCCTCAGTCAGTGGCTGGACATGGTGGCCGTCCCAGCACCGCAGCTGGGCGCAGTGCCAGGGGCAGCCTTCCCCAGCAACATCAGGGAGCACAAGTAGGAGGATCACAGCCCAGCCTGGCTGTGGCATGAAGTGAAAACAATGGAGGCAAAAGGGGCAGGAAGTAAGGCTCAAGTGGTAGAGTACCTGCCCAGCCAGCATGAAGCCCTGAGTTCAGTTCTTAGTTCTGCCAAAAATAATGTATAAGTTTTTTTTAAAAAAAGAAAGAAAGAAAGAAGAAAGAAAGAAAAAGAAGAGAAGAGAAGAGCCTGGGGGAAGCCGGGTGCCAAGGGCTCATGCCTGTAATTCTAGCTACTCTGGAGGCTGAGATGTGAGGACTGCTGTTCACAGCCAGCCTGGGTAGGAAAGTTGGTGAGACTCTTACCTGTAATTAGCCATCCAAAATCCAGAAGTGGAGCTGTGGAGCAAGGGATAGAGTGCCAGCCTTGAGCAAAAACATCTAAGGGACTGTGCCTAGGCCCTGAGTTCAAATCCCAGTGCCAGCAACAAACCAACCAACCAACGAGGGGACAAAATGCCATGTGGCAGAGGAAGGGGAGATGGAGGGACAAAAGGGACCATGAGATGAGACACGGGACCGGATAGGGTCTCATGTGATAGGGCGAGAGTCAGGGAGTGTGAGAGAGCAGGTGGGTTGAAGGGTGTGTGTGTGGGGAGGGCACTCAAGGGGCAGGGGCTGTGGAGGGGGCAGCAGGACTGGAAGGCCCCTGTCTGCCCCCAGGGAAGGACCATGTGTGCAGGTTCATTGGCTGTGGCAGGAACGAGAAATTTAACTACGTGGTGATGCAGCTGCAGGTGGGTGCGCCAATCCGCTCTCCCCAGGAGCTGCGGCTTTGACCCGGGCGGGCTGGGAGGGGGCGTGGTCCCAGGGCGGGAGGCTGAGAGGGGGCGTGGTCCCAGGCGGGAGGCGGGAAGGGGTGGTCCCAGGGCGGAGGCAGTGAGGGGCGTGGTCCCAGGGCGGGAGGCGGGAAGGGGTGGTCCCAGGGAGGGAGGGGGAGGGGCGTGGTCCCGGGGCGGGAGACGGGGGTGGGAGGGGGCGTGGTCCCAGGCCCGGTGAGTGAGCGGTGGGGGCACAGCTGAGGAGGTCTTGTCCCCGCCTCCCACCAGGGCCGGAACCTGGCGGACCTGCGCCGCAGCCAGCCGCGGGGCACCTTCACGCTGAGCACCACGCTGCGGCTGGGCAAGCAGATCCTGGAGTCCATCGAGGCCATCCACTCGGTGGGCTTCCTGCACCGGGACATTAAGCCGGTGAGCGGCGCCGCCCCAGGCCGTCTCCGCCTCCCAACAGTGGCGGCCCGGGAGCCCCTTGTCCTCTCCACCTAAGCCCCCTCGCTTCCCCTTTGGTGTTCTCCGCTGCTGCTTCTTCATCCTGGGTATTCCCGGAAGCTAGACAGCGAGGAGGTCGAGGAAGGACCAGGCGGGGAGGGCTGGAATTCCCTGTAGTTGATTCTTGTGGTGTCATTTTTGACCTTGGTGTTACCAAAAACCAAACAAAGAAAAACCCTCTCATTTGAAGGGAGGAAAGGGTTAAAAACTGAGCTGGGGCATGGCTCAGGGGATAGAGCCCTTGCTCACCCACACAAGGCCCTGGTGCAAATCACATATGGCAAAAAAGAGATGATAATAACAATTATATTGAAAAACAAAAAATTACAGCAATAATTTTTCTGTGCTACTTCTGGAGCCTGAACTCAGGACCTGGACCCTGTCCTTGAGCTCAAGGCTAGCACTCTACCACTTGAGCCACAGTGCCTCTTCTGACTTTTTGATAGTTAATTGCAGTAAGAGTCTCATGGACTTTCCTACCTAGGCTGGCTTTGAACCACAATCTTCAGTTCTCAGCTTCCTGAATAGCTAGGATTACCGGCATCAGCCACTGGCACCCAGCTACAATAGTAATTAAAACAAAAAACAAAAAAGCCAGGCCCTGGTGGCTCACCCCGGTAATCCTAGCTACTCAAGAGGCTGAGATCTGAGGATCTCGGTTCAAAGGCAGCCCAGGCAGGAAAGTCTATGAGACACTTATCTCCAATAAGCCACTAGAAAACCGGAAGTAGCGCTGTGGCTCAAGTGGTAGAGCGCTCCCCTTGAGCTGAAGAGCGCAGGGACAGCATCCAAGCCCAGAGTTCAAGCCACGACCTACCAAAAAAAAAAAAAAAAAAGCCTGGCACCAGTGTCTTACCATCTCTAATCCTAGCTTCTCAGGAGGCTGAGATCTGAGAATTGCTGTTCAGAGCCTGCCTAGGCAGGAAAGACCTTGAGCTCTTACCTCCAAATAACCAGCAAAAAATCCAGAAGCAGAACTGTGGCTAAAGTGGTAGACCAGTCTTTAGGGGAAAACCTCAGGGACAGCTCCCAGGCCCTGAGTTCAAGCCCCCCAGTAGCAGCACAAAAATCAATAAGTAAATGAAAACAGAGAGCTAGAAATGTTAATTGAATGGCCCATGACACACAAGATTAAAGCTGGTCTACCTGAGAGCAGGGCAGTTACACTTGGACAGAGAAGGGTTCGAAGCTGGGATTCCACTTGCTCTGTAGTCTCAGAGAAGTTCCTCATGTCTTTGACCTTCAGTTTTCTATCTCAAAAATAAGTGCTGCTGGATACCAGTGGCTCATGACTATAATCCTAGCTACTTAGGAGGCTGAGATCTGAGGATCATGGTTCAAAGCCAGCCTGGGGAAGAAAGTCTATGAGACTCTTATCTCTAATTAATCACAGAAAACAACAAAAGTGAACCTGTGGCTCAAGTGGTAGAGTGCTAGCACTCAAGACCAGAGTTCGAGCCCCAAGACCAGAAAAAAAAAAAGAACTGGGGACTGGTGGCTCACGCCTATAATCCTAGCTACTCAGGAGGCTGAGAAGTGAGGATTGTAGTTTGAAGCCAGTCCAGGCAGGAAAGTCCATGAGACTCTTATCTCCAATTAACCACCAGAAAAACTGGAAGTGGGGGCTGGGAAGGTGGCTCAGTGGTAGAGGGCTTGCCTTGCATGCATGAGGCCCTGGGTTCGATTCCTCAGCACCACATAAGCAGAAAAAGCCAGAAGTGTTGCTGTGGCTCAAGTGGTAGAGTGCTCGCCTTGAGCTGAAGAGCTGAGGGACAGCGCCCAGGCCCAGAGTTCAGGCCCCACGACCAACAACAACAACAACAAAAAACATAAAAACTGGAAGTGGTGCTGTGGCTCAACGTGGTAGAGCACTAGCTTTAACAAAAAAGCTCAGGGACAGTGCCCAGGCCCTGAGTTAAAGCTCACAACTGACAAAAAAAAAAAAAAAAAAAGATAATCATACCTATCCTGCAAATGAGACACTGAACCCTATGGTCCCCATGTTCATGAGTATGTTTTCCTTGTATGGGGTGTTTGGGGGGATCGAGGGCCTTCCCCACCTGCAGAGCAAGCTTGCTTGCATGCATGTTCCCCGCCCCCCCCCCCCCCGTCAGTTGTATGGCTTTAATTCAGGACCTGGGCACTGTCCCTAAGCTCTTTTGCTTAAAACTAGCACTCTACCACTTTGAGCCACACCTCTACTTTGGGTTTTCTGGTGGTTAATTAGAGATAAGAATCTCAGGGCTTTTCCTGCTTGGGCTGGCTTTGAACTGAGATCCTCAGATCTCAGCTTACTGAGTAGCTAGGATTACAGGATTGAGCTATCAGCACCTGGCCTCTCTCTCTCTTTTTTTTTTTTGCCAGTACCTTATACTCATTCATGGCTGCTCATGGATGGTGCTCTTCCACTTGAGCCAGACCTCCAGTCTTGCTTTTTTGGTACTTATTTTTGGAGATTGAGTCCTATCAACTTTCCTGCCTGGGCTGGCTTTGAGCCACAGTCCCCTGGCTCTCAGCTCCTGAGTAGCTAGGATTATAGGCATGGCCCCTTAGCACCTGGCGCAGAGCTCTTCCTTGGGAGCTTCTGAGTGGAACCTGAACTCACAGCTGCCATCTTCTTCCAGTCAAACTTTGCCATGGGCCGGCTGCCCTCCACCTACCGGAAGTGCTATATGCTGGACTTTGGACTGGCCCGGCAGTACACCAATACCACAGGGGACGTGAGACCTGTGAGTACCTCAGGGCTCCCCAGCATCCCTCGGGAGACCTTTCACCTCCTTCCCTGCCACTGCTGGAGCTGGCTTGGCCTTGTCTTCAGCGTCAGCCTACGCTTGTGGATGTTGACCTTCCTGTCCATTCCGGGTGGACAGCAGGGCCAGGACATGGGTGTGAGCCTGGAGTCAGAGGTGGCTCCTGGCTGGGTGCACGGGAGCAGGCAGGCTCTGTGGCAGGGGTGGACCGTGGCAGAGGTCGGGACAGCAGGCGAGGCTCCTGCTGTGGTCTCTTCTCCCACAGCCTCGGAATGTGGCCGGGTTTCGAGGGACGGTTCGCTACGCCTCGGTCAATGCCCACAAGAACCGGGTGAGTGGCCAAGGCTGGAGGGATGGGGCACAAAGGTCACGGGTGGAGTGGGCTGCTGGGGAAGAGTGAGGTTGACCCATGTCAAGGTGGTTGGGGAAGAGTGGGGTAGGGGCTGCGTGGAGGCTGCCACTGAAGGGGCCCTGGATTGAAGGAGCTCCATTCACTGCATCCTGTCTGTACTCACCACACAGCCTGTGGCCACAAAGCACAGACAAGTGATGTGTGTGTGTGTGTGTGTGTGTGTGTGTGTGTATTCTAGTATGGGGCTTGAATTCAGGGTTTCAAGCCGTCCCTTTTTTGTTTTGTTTTGTTTTTTTTGTTCACGATTGTTATTCTACCACTTGAATCTGTTGTTTTCTTGTTTTTTGTTTTGTTTTGTTTTTGTTTTTTGCTTGGCTAATTTAGGAGTTAAGAGCCTCACAAAGTTGTCTTCCTGGGCTGGCTTTGAACCATGATCTTCACATCTCAACTTCCTGAGTAGCTAGGATTACAGGCGTGAGCCATCAGCACCCAGCTCAGACCAAAGTTTTGACTGAGGTTCTGTGTGGTCTCTGAGGGTTGGCTGATGGCGCTGTAGCCTCAGAATGACCCCAGATCTGTCCATCAAGGGCTGGCGTCGGGCCCTTCTGATAGATAGATGTCCCTGGGGGAACGGTGAGATGTGCGTTCTCAGGGAAGGACTGAGGTGACCCCTTCCCTCTCCCAGGAGATGGGCCGCCACGATGACCTGTGGTCCCTCTTCTACATGCTTGTGGAGTTTGCAGTGGGTCAGCTACCCTGGAGGAAGATCAAGGACAAGGTGAGGCCCCCATAGCCGGTGGAGGAGGTTGGGGGGCTGGACAGGGCAGCAGGCTTCCATCCCCCCTTTCCCCTCCCCCCCCTCTTGCTTCCAGGAGCAGGTTGGGATGATCAAGGAGAAGTATGAGCACCGGATGCTGCTGAAGCATATGCCCTCAGAGTTCCAGCTCTTCCTGGACCACATCGCCAGTCTGGATTACTTCACCAAGCCCGATTACCAGGTGGGCGCCGGCCGCCCGCTCACAGAATCGTTACGTAGTCATTGTTTCCCTTGCAGTGGCTGGGGTTTGAATTCAGGCCTCACAATTGTTAGGCAGGTACCCTGCCACTTAAGCCCTGTCCCAAACTCTTATTTTGCTTTAGTTTCCTCCCCTGCCCCAGGTGGAGCCTCACTGCCCCTCCTCCCCCAGAGGGTCAGCCTTGGACCTACAGTCTTCCAACCTATGGCCAGGGCCTCCTGCAGACACTGCACCATGCTCAGCTTATTGGTTGGATCTCGTTGACTTTCTGCCCGCCCTTGAACCACAACACTCCAAATCAGTCTTTACCTCTGAGTAGCTGAGATTACAAGTAGAAGCCACCATAGCCACCCTATGGTAACTGTGTCATATTTCTGCATGGCCGAGTGGCAGGCTTGCACGCACTAATATCAACACAAGCCACCATCAGAATGGCTCTGACATTACCAGTTAATAGGAGTTTTTCAACTCTACTATGATTATATGGATCCAGATTCATATCCAAAGCTTGGATGACTGAGGCCTCTGTGTGGTGTGTGATTCCACACCCCTCACTCCACATCCAGTCTCTTCAAGGCATTATCTCCACCCATCATGGGACCCACTGACCTGATCTGAGGGTGGCAGGCGGGGTGGGGGGGATGTGTGAGCTGGACACAATGCTGCACATGACGGGGGGAGAGGAGGGGGGGGGCACAGACTGTGTCAGGCCCACAGGTGAGTCCTGCCAGCAGAGAGCACCTGTGTTCCACAGACAACCAAGCTGAAAGAATGATCTGGGCACCTTAGAGGTTCTGTAGCTGCCCACTACCTCCCGAACAGTGGCCTGCACAGAGGCTTGGGGATCCTGGCTTCCCCAAATCACACAGCTGTGAGCACTCACCCATAGCTGCCAGGGATGTAGAGTTGGAAGATGACCGTATGAGCCATGCGAGTGGGTGCCTTGTGGTTCTGGAGTCTGGCATCAGAGAGGACAGGCAGCCAGCAGTCACGAGCAGGAGGAAAGCCTAGTGGTCCAAGGCCAAGGGGGTACAAGTGGCAGAGACTCTGAGGGACAGCCCTCAGGTCTCAGAGGACTTGTGTCCAGTTGATGGGGCTTCATCCAAGATGATCATGTGCATGCTGATCTGCATACATTGTGCATGTTTTTATTTCCAATCAATGTGCCCTTCTCCTCCCAATGCCTCCTCTAGACCCCTCTCAGTCCCTGAATGTTCCTCTCTTCCCCACCTCCCTGCAATCCCAGCGACTGCCCCTTCCACCTGCCTAGCCCCGGGATCACCTTTCTGTCCTCCCACCACCCCACCCCTGCAGTTGATCATGTCAGTGTTTGAGAACAGCATGAAGGAGCGGGGCATTGCGGAGAACGAGGCCTTTGACTGGGAGAAGGCGGGCACTGATGCCCTGCTGTCCACCAGCACCTCCACCCCACCCCAGCAGAACACCCGGCAGACGGCAGCCATGTTTGGGTGAGTCTGAGCAGGACCCATGGAACAGGGGCACCCAGTGACCCCCGCCTGGAGCTGTCACCCACCGAGCGCATCTCCTCCTGCCTGGGCACTCTGGGCTGTCTCTCCTGGCAGAGGAATTCTGGAACTTGGGGGAATCCTGCCACAGCACACACTGGGCGTCCTCTGCGGGATCCACCATCATGGATCTCCCAGAGAGCCACAAACCCTAAGAGAAATGTCAGAGCCCTCCAGTTTCTCGTTGATCATGGCTTCCCTTATTAAAAAAAAGAGAGAAGCTGAGCACCAGTGGTTCATGCATGTAACCCTAGCTACTCAGGAGGCTGAGAGCTGAGGATCAAGGTTCAAAGCCACCCTGTGTGTGGGGGGGGGAACCTTTGAGACTTATCTACAACTAATGAGCAAACACGCTAGAAGTGGAGCTGAGGCTCAAGTGGTAGAGTGCTAAGACAAAAAATTCAGAGAAAGCACTCAGGCCCTGAATTCAATCCCAGGACTGGCAAAAAAAGAAAAAAAAAAGACATTGCTTGAGGATTTCCCAAGTAGTTCTTCTCAGATCTGTCTGTGGGTTAAAGGAAGCCAGGCACTGACAGCCAGTGACCATTGAGCAGGACCTTGAAAACCCAATCCCCAGGATCTCCTGAGCAAACCGAGCGAGGGGGCGTGTCAGTGCCTGCTGACGTGTCTCCTCGCAGTTCCTGCCAGCTCCTGGTGGTCTGGTCTCAGAGGCCTCGTAGGTAGGGATGGCGATGGGCTTAAGACCCGTTATCCCACGGGGGCCTCCTGTGTGCTATCCCAGGGGAGGCCTCCGGGGCTTGGGCTGGCAGGGGAGCGTTGGGAGGAGAGCAGCCGCAGGCTTCATCCATGGCCCCTCCTGACCTCTCCAGAGTGGTCAATGTGACACCCGTGCCCGGGGACCTGCTCCGAGAGAACACGGAAGACGTGCTCCAGGGCGAGCACCTGAGTGACCAGGAGAACGCACCCCCTATCCTGTCTGGGAGGCCCACCGAGGGGCTGGGCTCTGGGCCCCACCTTGTCCCCCACCCCGGGGGTCCCGAGGCTGAGGTCTGGGAGGAGACTGATGTCAACCGCAACAAACTCCGGATCAACATCGGCAAAGTAACTGTAGCCAGGGAGGGGGTGTGGGTGCCTTTCCCCATCTGGATCCCCATCCTTGTCCCCCATTTCTCCCCCCAGCCCTGGCTCAGTTCCTGGTCACCTCCATCATCCTGCCTTTACCCCAACTCCTGCAGCAGCAGCACCCCTCCGTGCCTGTTACCCCGGAGACCCTCCGCCCCGCAGCCCTGCTCACCAGCCTCCCCTTTTCCTGCAGACCCCCTGTGTGGAGGAGGAACAGAACCGAGGTGTGGGGATCCCCAGCTCCCCAGTGCGAGCTCCCCCAGATTCCCCAACAACCCCAGTGCGTTCTCTGCGCTACCGCAGGGTCAACAGCCCAGAGTCAGACCGGCTTTCCACTGCAGCGGACGGCCGGGTGGAGCTGCCCGAGAGGAGGTGGGTCTGCGGGTGGGTGCCCAGCCGCCCCTCTGCCTTCACAAGGCTGGTCTGCAGAAAGGTCAAGCGAGAGACAGAGTTGGGGGCCACTCCCCCTGGGTCGGGGTGGGTTGCAGTGGATGAGGGCTGAGTGGGGCATCCCAGGGGATCCCAACTGTGTGAGGAGGGGTGGGGCTACAGCTCAGGCCATGCCCCGGCCTGGGAGGGAGTAGAGACAGACACCTGAAGAACAGGAGATGTGACTTGGGGGGACAGGAGGTCTAGCCGAAGGGCGCAGGGGGCTGCTGGAGAAAAGGACAGGCCACGCAAGGGACCTGAAGTGGGAGAGGGAGGGGCTCAGTGGGAACTCGGCTGGTGGAGAGTGTGGGGTCTACACAGGCTTTTGGGAAGGTGGGCTGGTTTTTGGGGGGGGAGGGGAGGGCAAGCTAGTGGTATGTGTAAATAAGGCCATAAAATTAGAATGTACGCAGTTTGAGAAAAGTGGGTGAATGGGGGGGCGGAACTGAGGCTTAGTCAGATTTGGGGAGGTCTGAATGCCAGATGAAGGAATGCACGCTCTGTTCTTGGGTGTGGTGCATGTGTGCAGCTGGGGATGACAAGGCCAGGCCTGGGGTGGTGAAGCCAGCCAGGCTGCTTTGGAGCATGGCTGTAGGCAGCCAGAATGCCATCTGTAAACTTGGGAGGCAGCTGGCGGGTTGGCTCTGGAGGGCGGCCCCGACAGGTGTGCGTGCGCAGGGGCAGGAGCGCCGCGGGCTTTAGGAAGATCACGTCCTCTGGGGTGTCCCAGAGGACAGAGGAGGATTTATTTTCTGCAGGTTTACATTCCTGGAACAAGGTAAGCATTGGGAGCATTCACTGAATGGATGGATGAGTGGATGGGCGGATGAAGGATGGATGGGTGGATGATGGATAATGGGTGGATGGAAGGATGGTTGGAGTAAGGAAGGAAGGCATTCTTTCTAAGCCATGAGGTTGAAAGGTAACAGTGCAGGACACCATGAGCCTGGCCCGGGGTCGAAGAGGTGCTGGGGTCAGGAGGCTCAGAGCCACACTCCACTCCGTCGCCCCGGCTCCAGAGAGGCCAGGCACTGAGTCCCCATGGGTGGCCTTGCAGGTCACGGATGGACGCCCTCGGCTCCCCCTCGCGCCAGGCCTGCTCCTCCCAGCCCGCCCAGATGCTGTCAGTGGACACGGGCCACGGGGACCGGCAGGCCAGTGGCCGCATGGACGTGTCGGCCTCCGTGGAGCAGGAGGCCCTGAGCAACGCCTTTCGCTCCGTGCCGCTGGCCGAGGAGGAGGACTTTGACAGCAAGGAGTGGGTCATCATCGACAAGGAGACGGAGCTCAAGGACTTTCCTCCAGGGGCGGAGCCCAGCACGTCTGGCACCACGGACGAGGAGCCCGAGGAGCTGCGGCCGCTGCCCGAGGAGGGCGAGGAGCGGCGGCGGCCGGGCCTGGAGGTCACGGTGCGGCCGCGAAGCCGGGGCATGCACACGCTGGCCGAGGAGGACCTGCGGCAGATGCCGCCCCAGCCCCTGCCGCCCCAGCTGAGCCAGGCTGACGGCCGCTCCGAGGCATCACAGCCCCCCACGCCCGGCAGCCCCTCCCACTCACCCCTGCATTCGGGACCTCGCCCTCGACGGAGAGAGTCGGACCCCACAGGGCCTCAGAGACAGGTAAGACTGGGCTTCATGACCACGTCCGTCCCCAGGTGCCCCGGCCCATGCGCAGGCCTGGCGCGGCCAGCGCCACCCGGGCACCCGTACCCGCGGGCTGTGCTGGAAGCAGACAGCGTTAAAGGCTGGAGACCATACTTGGGGGTCAGGGGAGGCTTTCCAAATGCAGAGTTGAATCTCGTGTTGTGAGCAGGGCAGCCAGGTGACAAAGCAAGAGAAAGACCCCGCCGGGCCTGGAGGGTACCGCATCTGACTGCAGGTCATAGCAGATGAGGCTTTGGGACGGGGCCTCAGGTCTGTCTGTCCCAGGGACCACCCCAGGGAGGGGACAGGCTTGCTTCTCAAAGGCTGGGTGAGCCAGCTTGAAACAGGAGGCCGCCATCACATTGGTACTTCGGAATGACTTTGTGTAGGAATAGGACTGAAGGGGAACAGGACTAGAAGCAGGAAGGCCTCGTGGAGGGCAGTCAGTCACGGGGGAGTGTCCTGGGCTGGGGCGGAGGCTGTGGACACTGGCCAGGTGAATATAGCCTAGAGATGTTGAGGAGAGGCTAGGAGGGCTGGCATGGACGGCAGGTGGGGGAGGGGCTTCTCAGCGGTTGCCCAGGATCCTGAGTGTGAGTGACGTCATCCCTGAGTGGCTTTGGAGGTGGACACGAGAGGCCTCAGTGCCTGCGTTCTTCCATGTGGAAATATCTGGGGCGCAGGAGAGACTTCTTGGATTTGGGGGTCATTGAGTGTATCACCCAAGAGGACTGTGAGTGGGAGAGCCGAGGGGCGAGCGGGGGGGGGGGGGGTAAGAGAAAATAAAATAATAAATAAGGAGAGGGACTCCAGGGAAGCCGAAAGCGCGGGGGGAGGGGGGGGGAGAATGGCGGGGAATGCTCACGTCTGGAGCCATGAGAGGAAAGGGAGGCTGAACGGTGATGGACAGGAGAGCCAAGGCCAGCGAGCAGCCCCAGGGGAGGCCTTGGAAATCAGGAACGAGAGGACTTCTGGGTAGCTCGGAGGCAGACTCCATGGGCAGAGGGGGCAATGGGAAAGTATGAGCCAGTGCGGGCAGGACTCTAGGGCACAGAGAAGGGCTCATGGAGACCTGAGTCTGGCTCCAGTGGCCCCTCCTTCTTTTGAGACAGGGTCTTAATACAGCCCAGGCTGGCCTCAGACTCATGATCCTCCAGCCTCCCCTGTAGCTAGAATCACAGGTGGGCTCCACTGGACTGAGCTCAGTGGCACTCATTTTTCCTTTCTTTTTTTCTTTTGTGTGCTGGTCCTGGGCTTGAACTCAGGGCCTAGGCCCTGTCCCTTAGCTTTATCACTCAAGGCTAGCACTCCACCACTTGGGCCTCAGTGCCACTTCCAGTTTTCCGGTGGTTTACTGGAGATAAGAGTCTCACAGATTTTCCTTCCCAGGCTGGCTTTGAACTGCTATCCTTAGATCTCAGCCTCCTGCATAGCTAGGATTACAGGCATGAGCCACTGGTGCCCAGCCTAGTGGCACTTTTCTTATATGAGAGACAAGACCGCAAGGCCAAATATGGGTCAGATGGTGCCTGAACTACAGATGCTGAGCCGAGGGTCTGAAGTAGGTCTCATGGTATTTGTGATGGTCTATGCTGACAAAGACAGGCTGTGAGAGTGGGCAGAGGACTGCCACTAGCCTAGCTAGTCTTGTGGGGGGGGGAGGGGCAGAGGCTGACCTCTGACCTAGGAAGTGGACACTAACTTTTGTACTGTGTGCCAAATGAAGCCTGAGGTCCCTCAGAGTTGCTGGGACTGGAAGGGGTCAGGCCATGTTGCAAGCTCTTTGGGATGCACCCCACGACAAGGTGTGCACCAGGTGATCCTGGAGGTGCCCAGCACAGAGCTGGGGGTCAGTTCTGCCCCTTGCTTAGATTGGAGGTGGCCTGGGGTCATGTGTCTATCCTGGGAAGGACAGCTCTGAGAGGTCCCTTCTAGAAGAGAACCTCTAAGCCATGATCTTGGGGTGCATATTCTTACCTTACCCTGGATATTGGAAATTGGGGATTAAAAAAGTGGGTCCCATGAGTCTCCACTCCGGGATGTCAGCTGGGTGGAAGCTGAGGGGCCGGGGTTCAGGGCCTGCTTCGGTTCCTCCCTCCTGGGCCACGTGGGCCAGTCACTGTCCCAAAGTCTCCGACTTTGTCCTCTGCCTCACGTTTCTAATGTTGTGGGAAGCCTCACCCGGGGAATTCTGGCTGAGAGGGAGAGGAGAGATTTGGGGGAGCAGACACAGGCCTGCTGTGCAGTCAGTCTTGGGTTCTCACCCCATGCATGCCATGGAAGGGGAAATGAGCTTGTCTTGTGGGGTGATGTGTTTGTGGGACTCAGTTTCCCCCATAGTGTGTTAGTGCTCTATGAAGGTGTGTATGCATTTCTGTGTCAGCCAAGCATTGGCGTGTGTGTGTGTGTGTGTGTGTACGTGAGTACACACGGTGCATGGGTGTAGTGTGTGTGGGTCTGCGAGTATGCAGAGCACCTGCACCCAGAATGTCAGAGCTGGAAGGACAGCCCTAACGCCACTGGCCAGTGCCTGGCTGTTGCATGCTCCCTCTGAACAGGCAGCCCTGCTTCACAAGGAGAACAAATGGAGATTCAGAACAGCTTCGTTTCTAGCTCAGGGTCGTCAGCTGATACAGGGCAGAGCCGGGACTTAAATCCAGGCAGCTGGGTCCAGGGTCTGAGGCCTGTGTGTTGAGCAAGCAGAGGGGCAAAAATGGGTCACAGAAACAGATGGGGGGGTACACAGGGTCAGAGAGAGCCTGGAGACAGACAGACAGAGACAGACAGACACAGAGAGAGACACACACACAGAGAGAGAACAAGATGACAAGAGAGATATAGAGAGATACAGAGTCACAGAGAGACAGAGCGCGTGCACGCACCTGTGCATGCCAGCTGGCAGGCCCGTGTCGGCAGGTGTGTGTGTGGGCGCATCAGCGTGTGTGGTATGTGCTGTGCATGCCTGTGGGCATGGGGCAGCACACAGAGTTAGGCAAGACCTTTGTTCTTCAAGGGCAGAGGAGGCCCGAGACCTGAGCTGGCGTATCTTTTCTGTCTCCGCTTGGGCTGGTGGGAGGCGAGGTCCCGCCCCTTGCTCATGCTGCGATGTGTCCCATGACTCTCCACCCCAGTGACTAGAAGTCTCTAGGGATACCAACCACCACCCTGCCACCTGTCCTTGAGGCGCCCTGCGAGGCCTGGCGTGGTCCCTGGGTGATGTGAACAGGGTCGCTGTTGGCAGTCATGGGGTATGTGGTAGATGATACCAACCAAGCAGGGGTGCACATCTGGTGTGCGGGTGTGGACACGTCAGGCTCTGCTCCCAGGGGGGAGGGAGGGTTTCAGGTGCAGACAAAAAGAGGGCAGGGCCAGCCCGTGTGTGACTTTGGGGGACGCTGCTGCTGACTGCCAGGCGCCTCTGGCCTGAGTACACAGACATTTTCTGGGAAGCCACCAACATTTTCTGGAAAGTCACGAGCTGGGCAGTCTGCAAGGGGCTGGGGACAAAGCTCAAGAGGCTTCATTCACAGCCTCTGCTTTCGGAGTCCGCAGGCCAGCGGAGGGGAGGCAAAGACCTGGGAACGGATGATTCCCATCAGGGCCTCCAGGAGAACGGAACGCCTCTCTGATAGGCTGGCACGGTTGCGGGAAGCTGGGGTGCTTTGTAGAGGTGGCTTTCCAGCTGCACCTTGAGGACAAGGGGGTGGCCACTAGTGGCCTGGCCCGGAAGGCAGGAGCTGCTGGCCTTCAGTGTCAGCCTGGAAAGCCCGGCGGCTGACCATCTTGGGCTCGGAGGTTACACTCCTGCACCCACACGTGCTGAGAGGGGGCATGGGGCACCCTGGGCTCCCTTCATCCTCACTGCAGACAGGATTAGCCTGGAAGGATTCTAGACTTGGCCCCAAAGAAGCAGGCAGAGGATTCTGTTGGAATCTTCCTGCTCTCCCTACTCTGCAGGCGTCACTTGACATCAGTAGCAAGGGATACAGGAGCTGAGTGAGGTCACTGCCACAGCGCAGCTAAAGTGACCTCAGTCCCAGGAAGAGCTCGGCGTGGGCTGGGGGACCGCTTGTCTAGGGTGGTGGCTGGTGGGCCAGCCAGCTGCCTTCAGAGGGCGGGCAGACGCTTAAAAAATATGGATGCCCCCCCACATCTGTAGGTCCTTATTCTGGGGAATGACAGACATAGGGCACAGCACCAAGGCCAGGCAGGCTCTGGACCTCTGTCCTCATACCTTGTGAAGCAGAAACCATTTTGACCCCATGTTTAAGAGGAAACTGAGCTGGGCGCTGGTGGCTCACGCCTGTCATCTAGCTACTCAGAAGGCTGAGATCTGAGTACTGAGGTTCCATGCCAGCTAGGTAAGGAAAGTCCATGAGACTTTTCTCCACTAAACTACCAAGAAATAGTTGGAGCTGTGGCTCAAGCAGTAGAGCACTATCCTTGAGCAAAAGCAGCTCCGGACAGTGCCCAGACGCTGAGTTCCAGCCCCCGGACCAGCACGCTCACTCTCTCTCTCTCTCTCTCTCTCCCCGCCCCCCCCCCAAGCTGAGGCACCGAGAGGTGAAGCAAGTTAGGGTCATCCAGGCAGATCAGTGGTGGAGCTGGGGTTAAAACATGAGGTTTAGCTCTGTGGCTTAGAGGCAGCGCCTTGCCTCTCCTATGCCAGGCCCTGGGGTCCCCCCCCCGCACCTCAATGCGCAAATAAACAAAAGTCGTGGGACTGCAGTCCCCAGCCCCTCCCGCGACGGGCTGTCCCCGAGCTCCTCGGATCTCACCGAGAGCGCGGCCGGGCTGGGGCGGGGCCGCGTTCTTCGCCGCACTGGCCGGGATCGGTGGCGGGGCCCTGGGAGGGAGGCTCGGGTGGGTCAAGCCAGGACGGCGTCCCGGAGGAGGTGAGCCGGCGGGCCGGTCTCCGCAGGGAGCCGGGCCGGGCTCGGAGGCGGAGCCGGCGCGGCGCGGGGGGCTGTGAGCGGCGGGGGGCCCCGAGACGAGCTGTCCAGTCTGTGCCTGACGCCTCTCTTCCCTCCACTCTCTTGGTCTCTTTCAGTTGGAGGAGGACAGACTCTCGGGGCACTCCCTCCCGCGGTACAGCCCCCTGCGACGACTGGCGTCCTCCGTGTTCTCCTCCTCCACGCTGGAGACCGAGCATTACCCGCACCCCGGCGGCGGCGGCTCCTCCGGGTCCCTCATTCAGCGCAGCCGCTCGGCCGAGAGCAGCCCCGTGCGGGCGCCGCACCGGCGCCACGCGCCCCTGGCCGCCGGCAACCACAGACTCGTGCCCTCGGTGCTCCGCATCTCGCGGTCCCAGCTGCAGCAGGTGTGGGCCCGGTTCACCCACAAAACCTAGGCCGCCCCCCCCGCAGGGGACAGGCGGGGGGTAGGCGGAGACAGGGTCCTTCCCGGGGACGCAATAACCACGGCACAGACTCGCCGCCCTCCCGCCCAGCGCGGTACCCCCTAAGCGGCGGCCCCACACGCTGTAGCCCCGCCCCCGGCGGCTCGGGCCCCGCCCCCAGCGTCTGGGCCCCGCCCCCGGAGGCTCGGGCCACGCCCGATGGTGCAGGGCGGGTGGGCGCCGGGCTGGAGCCCCCGTGGACACCGCGTCAGGGAGGGGTGGTGCAAGTGTGCCGCCGCTCTGGCACCGGGCTTGTGGTTGATGTGCGGGTCTTTAGGCTGGGCAAGATCTACCACCTCCCCACTCCGCCCCAGGCTGGTGGGGGAGCAGGGTCCTGCCAGCAGGCTGTGGCTGTGTCTTTGCTTACATCTGTCTGGTGGCCAGCGAATGGGATAGAGCGAGGCCTGGCCAGCCTGGGTGTGTGTGTGTGATGGGATGATGTCTTTATACTCAGTAACGGGGGGGGGGCAGTCCCCAATGCCCTGGTGAGTCTTCCCTATGCCATGGTCACAGAGGTTCGAGTCCCTCCCTCCACATCTAACCCTAGAGAACCAAGGCTCAGTCCACTGCGCGTGCACGCACGAGCGCACACACGTGTGCACACACATTTCCATTCCTGAGCTCCCCTGGTTGACCCAGCTCCTCAGGCACAGGAGACAGATGAGGAGGGTTCAGGATCTGCCCTTAAATCCCTAAAGGCATCTAGACCCCAGCAGTGAGGGGACCCGGACTAAATGCATGTATAGATGGGATCCCCGTGGGACCGTGAGCTCAGCAGCAGTACTGGCATCTCAGGACAAGTCCAGACAGGAGCAGCTCACCCCTGTATCACCGGGGGTCCCTGGTCCCTGGTTGGTGCCCAGGGTGGTGGTGGGAGGAGGTCAAGATGTCTGTCTCCTGCCCCGTTTTGCCTATTTCTCTGCCCGCAGCCAGTTACCACAGGGATGCCAAATTTCCCTTTCCCATGCCAGCCAGCACCTCCATTCCCCCTGGTGAAGGTGTCAGAAAGGGTGTGGGAGGAGAGGAGACCCGATATGCAAAACAGTGGGTTCCATGCGATTGTGCTGTGAGTGTGCATGTGTGTGTACACTTGATGCTCGTGTGCATGGGTGTTTGCACCCTGCATAATTTGCGAGGGTCATTTCCAGAAATTTCCAGGTGACTGGTATGAAGGTTGCTAGTGCTGCAGCCTTGTGTGTGTGTGTGTGTGAGAGAGAGAGGAGGCACACGTGCATTGTTAGGGAGCCAGAAGGTGTTGGTGCAGTTCTTGGTAATTTCCTATGTTCCATTCTCACCCGGCACTCCCCTCCCCCTCCCCCCCTTCAGCTTCCACTTCTGATGTCAGCTTCCTCCTCTACTCCCCAGATGCCTATGGTTCGTTCCTATGGTAGGGTCCCTGGCCAGCCTTGCAGGGCAAGGGGCTATAAGTATGGAGTATGGTAGGCAGTGCCAGGGCCCAGCTGTCTTGCAAATGACCTGCATGGTAACAAGATTTGATGCTTCATCTGCACAAACCACTCCACAGACCAGTGACTTTTCCAACCCCCTCACCCTCCACTTTTCCCCACCTTTTCTAATGAGAGTGTCTGGGGCCAGAGCATCTTTTCTGTCCATCACAGGTTCGTGTGTGTGTGTGTGTGTGTGTGTGTGTTGGTTGGTACTGGGGTTTGAACTCAGGACCTTGGCACTGTCTCTTAGCTTTTTTCCCTCAAGGCTGGCCCTCTACACTTGAGCCACAGCTCCACATATAGCTTTTTGGTAGTTTAGTGGAGATAAGTCTCTCACAGACTTTCCTGCCCTGGCTGGCTTCAAACCTCAATATTCAGATCTCAGCCTCCTGAGCAGCTAGGATTACACATGTGAGCCACCAGTGTCTGGCCATCCCAGGGGCCAGCAGCCCCTCTGGGAAAGAACAGAAAACAAAGCACAATGGTGAGGACTGGGGTGTCCTGTGGCCCCCCTCCCCTGCTTCTGGCATGGCCCCTTATCCTCTGCCCCCCCCAGGGTGGTGGCAGGGGTGAGTGAGGAGGGTGTGCTCGCCATCCACTCCACAGCTTAGCAACACCGGGGTTCCATAAAACAAAGCATTCTGCGATCTGGCATCCTTTCTGGAGAGTTCCACTAGCCACCCTGTGTGACCAGAACCTCCTCGAGGTACTCTAAGATCCCAAAGTGCCTTATGACTTACCAAAAGCAACGGCACTGGCTTGAGCCTCGTTTTAAAAGCATTACAATTACTGAATCCGAAGCCTTCCAGGTGGGGGCCGGCTAAGCATTCCCTATGTGACCCCAGCCCTCCTGATACCCTTAAAGCAGAAAGCAAGATTCAAAACGTGGGTCCTTCCTGGGACATCCTTTTGCATATTCTCTGGAGTGGAGCAGTGCTTTGTAAGCTGGGAGCAAGCAAAAAAGGGAATCTCACTATTGACTGTCTTTCCAGGGCGGCTTCGACGCTGGGGAAGTGCTAAGGTCATTTGAGCCACCTGTGTTAGGTCAAGAGCCAGGCAGGGTTTGGGGCTGCACAGCCTGGCTCCTAGGTAAGACAGACTGTTTTTTGCTGTAGGATTTTTTCCCCCCAAAGTGCAGGCCAGAATGTGTGGAGAAATGGTGCTGTGCCTGGGGAAGGCGCCCTCCCTCCCCTCCCCAAAGTCAGCTTTGAAAACAGACAGCACTCTGTTGTACTTTAAAGGTGGTGTTTTTGTACTTTGTACCCACACCCTGCACAGAGTGTGTCCTCTAGTTATTTATTTTCTATTTAATTTAAGTCACTGGCACACAGGGCTTTATCATGTGTCAGGCCAGGATGTGAGCACTTTACAATATTAACTCTTTTAAAACCTCAGACTACCCCATAAGGTAGATTCTAGCATTACTGCACTTAACAGATTAATCAAAGACATACAGAAAAGCTGCCGATGCTGAGTAACAGGTCTGGATCCACAGGCATCCATATACACTTGGTCTGTGTATTGCTTTTCTCATGGTCCTTTCTGGTCGGCCTCCTCTCATGCTATCTAGACACGGGGGAGTCGTCTCTGAGCCATCCTTTCCTTCCTAACTGCACGTGGCCGGGGATCAGCTGGAATGGCTGGACCTCATCTCCCTAGTCCCCCCCCCCAGCCCCACAAGACCCCATAGCAGCTCTGGGGATAAAGTGGGTAGACTGAGTGGTGAGAATGCAGGTGCTCGAACCCCTGACCTCGGCAGTGCTGGGCAGGCTCACGGGCAGATACTGGCTTCCCTGAGCACTGGTCAGGAGACTTTGAACAAGTATCACCAACTCACCCGGGAACCTATCTGTGTCAGGGAACTGGCAGTTTGGGGACTGTGGTAAATTGGGGTCACAGCCCATCCCAGTCGCTTTCCTCAGTTCAAATGGCTGTTGCCACTGTCTTCCTATTTTTATGTGAAATCTCCTGATTTTTTTTTTTTTTTTTGTCGGTCGTGGGGCTTGAACTCTGAGCCTGGGCGCTGTCCTTCAGCTCTTCAACTCAAGGCGAGTGCTCTACCACTTGAGCTACAGCGCCACTTCCGGTTTTCTGATGGTTTATTGGAGATAGGAGTCTCACGGTCTCTCCTGCCTGGGCTGGCTTTGAACTGTGATCCTCAGATCTCAGCCTCCTGAGTAGCTAGGATTACAGGCATGAGCCACCAGCGCCCCGCTAAATCTCCTGATTTTTAAGGGTTGACGCCAAAAACTTAGATGGCTGGCATCTGATTTTGAGAAACGCAAGCCCAGAGCAGGACTTGTAAAGGAAAGATGTGTGAGAGCCAAACAAGGCCGGTTTCTGGGAGGAGGGCCGGGGAGGCCTCCTTCACCAAGTGAGCCTGAGCAGAACTGTGGCTGTCCAAGGGGCACTAGCACCTTCCATAGGGTGGCGCCATTGGGTGTGCTGTGCGTGCGTGTCGCGTGGACATACGTGCCCTGGTGCATGGCACGGTGGACATGTTTTTGGCGAGGGGAGTAGGACAGTGTTTTGGTTTGTTTTGTTTCCTCAGCGGGTTCTGTTGAATTCCCAATAACAGGCACATCCTCACACAGCTTGAGCCACAGCAATAAGCACTCAGCCATCCACAGACACCCTGAGCCCAACAGTCTCCCTCTGCGTTTCCAGTTTGGTGGATAAACTGACCCAGCCCTGCCCCGTGGGTGGGCACCTCTGAGCCAAGCTGGCCTCACCCCCCCCTCTACCCTGACAGGTCCCCTTTTCTGGGGGAGGGTTGGTGCTGTCTGCTCAGGCAGGGGGGTGGGTGCGGGAACCCCTCCATGGGTGGGTCGGGTGGGTCAGGGGCGCACCCCGCTTCAGGCTTCAGGACTGATTGGCTTGTGGGTGGGGCCACAGATAACGGTGTATGGTGTATTCTATTTGCTGCTGTTCTGGGGATGAAAGCGTAGATCTTCAAGGAGGGCCTCCCGAATGGCCCCCACCCATCGTACCCCAACACCATGTAGATCTGGGAGGCTCCCAGCAGCGGGCCAGGACTCTAGTCAGCCTCTGAGATGTTTAACGTATCCTTCTGTGTGAGGAAAGGGGGCACCCCCCCCCATTTCCCAGCCCGGGAGCCCTTGGCGGAGGTGGGAGTGGGTGGGACTCGTCTCCTCCTCCCCTCCCACTCGGTTCCGCCGTCCCTCGGGGTGCGCAGGGAGGGGTGCGGGGTTCGCCCGGCCACCGACGCCTCGCGCGCGCACACACACACGTGCACACACTTGGCCCACGGGGTTCCCGCACTAGCAGCTCCAGGTTTCTAACTGTAACCCGACCCCGCCCGGCCTGGCCTCTCTCCACGAATGTAGTCCTCCTCCTCTGTCCGTAACCAGCTGCTACGGCGCCAGGCCGGGGCTGCCGGGGAGCCCGCTC